TTTTGAGAATGATGAGGGCAATGAATGTACAAATGTGCTTTACACAATTGATGTATGGAGTGTGATAAGAGATGTATGAGCCCCTAATAAAACAATAAAAGAATTTTTAAAAGAAAAAAGAAAAAAAGAAATAAACAGCTAATTAGTCTATAGAGCAGTACAAATGGCTCAGTGCAACTCACTTCTATGAAATAGCTAATACACTGACAGTCCTTCAACTCAAGGGCCACTGGGTGCAAGTTAAGGAAGCAGACAGCTGAGTCCTCTGAAGAGCAATTCAGGCAATCTGGTCACAGGCAGCGAAGAGCAAGGCAGGTTACCAACAGTCAGCCAGATGACAGGGTCCAACAGTCCCCAACTCAAGCGATGTATACACCAGTAGCATGGTGAAGCAAGTCTTGAAGGAACCTCAAACTACAGGGACACAATCCACAGGTTGGTTGTCCCAAAGGTAGTGTTAGTTCACAAGTTGAGGCAGAGAACCAGCTAAGGCAGCCACACAGTCATCAAAGAGCAAGAGACAAGAAAGGTGAGGTTCCCTGAGCCATTTATCTCTCTGACCTTCAATTAATCCCACATGTGTTCATTGGCCAGGTTGGCACAATAAACCTACCTATCACAGCACTCTTTAATGGCTTAACCACCCAGGACTCCATGATTGTTGTTAGTTGCCATCACGTTGATTTTGACTCATTTAGCATAGAACTGCTAAATAGGGTGTTCGAGGATTCAGCCTGGCAGAGCAGAGGCTCCTTTCAGCTACTAGTCAAGTACTTAAGCCTTATGTCACATGGTAAAGTGTTTATTATTATAACCACTACAGGGTCGTGAACGGGAGCACTGGAGGCACAGTGGGCTGCTAACCAGGTCAGCAGTTTGAACCCACCAACCATTCTGTATGAAAAGTCAATGCTTTCTGCTCTCATAAAGATGTGCAGCCTTAAAGCCCCATGGGTGTTGTTCTACTCAATCCTATAGGGTCCATATGAGTCAGAATCTACTCGATGGCAGTGAGTTTGGTTATAATTTTAGTCCTAAATAAGATTGAGAACCTCAACTCAATCAGCTCTACCACTAGGCTCTGCTCCCCAATTCTTCCAGTGTGAAATTGAGGAGGGTCTGTATTGAGCAGCCACCAGGTTTTGCATTCTGGCCATGTGCTCCTACTGATGCTTCAGGAATGGGGCAGGCTTGCACACTGCTGATTGATGGTGAAGCTGAGTCACCTCAACCTCATACTACCTCCAAGATCCCCTGTCTCCGCTCTGTACTGGTGCCAAAGGACTGTGAGAACCAAGCTAAAGAGCTCCCCTTCTGCAGAGCTGCAACGGTTGGCACATTTGTGGGTGAGGGCATGAATTTCAGCTTGAATAGGCAGGAGGGGTCGATCTGTTCCCAGCTCTTCATCTAATAAATCTCGTTGGGTGTTTGGTGCTGAAAGCTAAGTAGCTTAGCTTGAAAGCTGCCGATAATGAGCTAGAGTTGACCAGGAACATGCTGTACTTCTGCCAGAACCAAAAGTCACCTTAACAAAAAAAAATGTGCATACTCATCAAAGGACTCAAACCCAGAATAACAAAGAAAACCAAAGTCCCTGTCATCTAGTCAATGCTGACGTACGGTGACTGCCGGACAGGGTGGGATGCCCCTCTGCGTTTTAGAGCCTGTAACTCTTGACAGGAGTAGAAAGCCCTCTTTCTCCCTCAAAGCAGTCAGTAGGTTTGAACAGCTGGCCTTTCAGTTAGCAGCCCAGTGCATAGCCACTGCAACACGGGGGCTCCAGAATAAAGCTCTTTAATATCTGGTACTCGACCCACTAGAAAAGTAAGCAAAGGCTCGAAGAGATTTTCACCAAGACACGATCCTCATGGTTGATGAGTAGGTAAACCTTTTCTCAACCCCGTCAGAGAAATGAAAATCAAACCAGAGTGCATCACTGACAGTCTGGCTAAAATGAAAACATTACATAAAGACCACGTTGCTTGTGGAGCAACCAGAACTCCCATGGGCTGCAAGTTTGGAGGATACATTCTAGAATTTTGCATTTTGGAAAAGCATTTACCGCTGTCAATCTAAGCTGAGCTTATATGGACATGAACACTTATGTAGAAATTCCCCTCCTATGTCTACACCAGAATTAATCCATATTTTCACCAAAAGGGATGTACTGAAATATTCAGAACCACACCAGTCCTGGTATGCTAAATCCAGGAAGAACTCAACTCTTCATCTACAGTAGCAAGGAACTCCAAGGTAAAGGAGACCAGAGACAAAGGCCTTCCTCCAGAGCCAACAAAAAGCCATTCCCTTGTGATGGTGTCAAAATAGGCCTGCCTCTGACAAGCCCACAGGGTTCATAGGCGCAATTGTACGACGACGATACTATATAAAGAGTAGAGTGCAGTCACAGCGAGTAGGAGGGATAGGAGAGGGTAAAATAAGGGAGTCGGGCACGTGTCATAGTAGCATGCCCACCTCAGCCCCTCTTGGTGGTCCACGTGGAGGTGGGAGGAGAGAGCAAGTATATTTCTAATTAAGGCTTATATATCCCTTAGGGGAATGCAAGCCCCGCTGATTACAGGTAACTACCTCCATAACAGGAAGGGGCTGTCCAATAGGCATGCATGTGACAGGAAGGGGATGAGCTAGGCATGTACACGTAATAAGAAGGGGAGGGACTTGGGGTACACATGTGACAAGATGGGCGGATCCTAGATTCAAGATGGCAGCCTAACTTTGGTTGTCCTTGAGTTGGCTTGACCTTGTCTCTGGGCTCTTTATCAGCAGGGAGTGGGCCCCACCTATGGGGGGACAGACAATAGAACCCAA